TAAAAATATCGATTTGTGCCCAAACGTGTTACGGCCACCTGTCAATGTATCTTAGAGACTATATTTACACTACCTACCTAGACAATTAAACAGCAGCTTAATTAAATAATGGTTTTCACACTAAACCGTATACATTATTAGTAGGTACTAGGTATAATATAAAATCTCCATTAACCATTATCAATATTATTATAAAAGAGAGAACTTTTATTTAAAAGATTTATTGTTTAATATATCTTCTAATGATTTTAAATAAAGAATTGATTCATTCATATCCCTTAGTGGTATATACATTTTTAAATGTTMTRMAATTAATAGATACWTGYAATATTTAAATATAAGACCAACATCATTAATGAATAATAAAAATAAAAGGTGATATAATCATGACTCTAAAAGATCTATTCGATAAATAAGATATTTTTTTTTTTTTTTAGGGTTAAGGCTTCGACAACCGAGGTCATTAGCCTGGGGGAACTGTAGGGGAAGGTACTGTAGGTTTTAAACGCGTGGGTATTTTGGCAGAATTTTTGAATGGGCACCCGTAGGTTTATGCCATGCCCGGTTGGGGGGCAACTKTCCCTCCAGACACCGCGAAATGCCCAAAGAGCGATGCCGCCCATGACCGAGGTTCGAACCGGTGACTGCGTGCATGGCAACAGACGCCTTAGTCCGCTCGGCCACTCTACCCCCTAAAATAAGATATTATTACTACCTATTTTACCTACCATTTAGAGMTTTAAAATAAACATGTTCTTTTGTTAAAACGATTTTGTGGTACTCTTCAACATGTTTTGGTAGCAATGCATATCCGCTGAATAACTGTCCACATTTATTGTCTGGGCATTTTATTGATATTTTCTACAAAGATTCCACTGCCGCACTTCTTTCTGTGTGCTACTAAATTCCGATGGTACCCAAAAACTTTTTTACATAAATTGCACGTAGTGATGCGATAAGAGAATATTCTTTATCAAATTATTACCGGGTAATTATTACTATAGTGGAACGTGGAAATACTGTACTAGTCACTAGATAATATTTAGTATTATACCATCGACAGTTGTACCCTATAGTGGTTATTGAATTACTGATATCTGATAATAACGGCGAGGTTGACGTACGTATTTTACGTCTATAAATACACTCATAAGTCATAAACTCATAACAATTATTAACATTATTATTGGTATCACGATAGAAGTAGAACTGGTAAAACCAAACTGTCATTGCCAATACGTATCACTTATAAAATGATATGTATACTATAATTTAATGAATATCGAGATTAATATAACGTTACGAATGTTACGATATGACTATCAAATTAAAAGATTTATTTTCTTGTGTTGTTGACCTTGTTATATTGTGTTGTTGACGTTGTTATATTGTGTTTACATCGTATTTTAACATTGTATTTAATTTTTTCAACATGCCTAAAGTTACCAAACCCAAACTAAAAATATGGGAGTATTTTAAGTTTAATGAAAACACAAATTCTTATTTGTGTATCTTTTGCCAAACGTCTTATTAAAAAAATGTGACGCGTATGTCAAATCACTTGAAAAAATGTTTGAGAATTCCTTTTGATATTCTTAAAATAATCAAAAAGATTGTACAGCCAGTGAAGAAGCACACAATCAAATTGGTGACGGTGAGTGTTAAAATTCTGTATTAATAACTACTTATTGAATAGGTAAAAATGTACAATATAGGCAGTCCTGTAAAGTATTTGAGTAAATGTATTCAAATACTTTTTTAAGTATTGAATAACTTTTTAAATACTTTCAGCATGATAAGTATTTTGAATGGTATTTTAAATACTTTTAAAAGTAGGTATTATTGTATTAAGTACTTGTTTGTATTGAATTCTTTAGTTTTTTATTTCGAACATTTTATTTTTATTCGAAATATTTTATATTATTTTGAAAACATTGTGGGTTTAAGTATAACTTTTAGCGTACTTTCAAACCATAAGTCTATTTATTATATAGCAAATTCAAATTAAATATTGCTCTTTACGTTGTATACGTATACGCTACACTGGACTTAAAACGTGTTGCAAAATTGCAACAGTGTGCAGTAACATGGAGAAATTAGATGATGATACAATAAGTAATTTATTGGCTGTTGATTGGCATTTGAGTGATGATGAATTAGATTTTAGTGATGTAGAAGATTTTGTAGAAGAGAAAAATGACTCTGAAGATGAAGAATTAGAAGGTATAAAATATCATGATTTTATATCTACATTTTATTATTATATTATTATTTCAACATAATGTGTTTGGATATTTGTACTTATCTAGATGTTTACATGGACATTTATAATTTACCTGTTGAAAGTGTAATTGGGAATAATGTAGATGATCAAATAGGAGGTATATTTCATTTTACAAATTATTCTTATAAATATTATTTCATAATAATTTATCTAAATTAAATTTTCATAATTTACTAAACAAAAACATTTTATGTAATTTATTTAGATATTGATATTGAGAGCTTGCCTATTGAAATTTCCCAAGACAATGATGAAAATATAGTTTTATCACCATCTGTTAGAGTAATACCCACTAGGAAGAATATAAAACAGTACCCAACAGTTCCTCAGACCACATATGTGCCTCCCCCGAAGTCTAAAAATTTACAAAATATTAAATGGAAAGTTGGAAATTTAATAACCCCTGACCAATGTTTGTTACATGAAAAAACTATTTTATCAGATTCTATATTACAATTGGACACTTCATTACAGTTTTTTTCATATTTTTTTGATGACAAATTAATTGAAACTATATTAAATGAAACACAACTTTATTCTTCAAGTTGATGTGAATAAACCAGTAAATATAACTAAAACAGAATTAAATAGATACATAGGAATTCTTTTGTATGCATCTGTAATACACGTACCAAATATTCGTGATTATTGGAGTACTGAACTTGATTTCCCACAAATATACKAAGCAATGTCCTTAAACAGATTTGAAACAATACGTCGTTTTTTACATTTTAATAATAATAATACAATGCTTGATAGGGGTGACCCAAATTTTGATCGTCTACATAAAATTAGGCCACTAGTAGACCATTTAAACTCTAAATATTCAAGTATTCAATGCAGGGAATATCTATCTGTAGATGAGCAACTTTGTGCTATAAAGGCTCGAAGCTATCTCAAACAATATCTTCCAGCAAAGCCCCACAAATGGGGTTATAAGTTATTTGTGTTGTGTGATGACGAAGGCTTTTCGTACAAATTTGAAATTTACACTGGTCAAGAGAATGAGGCAAGGTTTCKTCGTCAAAACGAACCAGATTTGGGTGCTAGTGGTAATGTAGTTATAAGACTTACAAGAGATGTGCCACAGTACAAAAATTATAAAATATACTGTGATAACTACTATTCTAGTATTCCTCTTATGGAATATCTTTATCAAAAAGGAATATATGCTTTGGGAACAGTACGGCGAAATAGACTGCCAAATTGTCAACTACCAAATGATAAACAAATCAAAAAATTATCAAGAGGCTCATCAATTGAACAGGTAACCTCCTATGAATCTGCACCTATATCAGTAGTGTTGTGGAAAGACAACAAGACAGTGACTCTTTTATCTACGTATTGTGGAGAACTTCCAAAAGTAACAAAAAAACGGTTTGATAAAAAACTAAAAAAACAAGTTGAAGTTGATTGCCCACATTCGATAAAAGAATATAACCGTCACATGGGAGGTGTAGACCTCCTCGACAGCCACATTGGTAGATACAAAATAAAAATTAAATCACGTAAATGGTACATACGACTTTTTTATCATTTATTGGATATGACCGTTGTCAATTCGTGGATATTGTATAAAAGAGTATGTGAAGTTAAAGGTCAGGTTTCTCAATACACACTTGCTGGATGGAGAAAAGACTTGGCCTATACATTTTCTAAATTTGGAGAAATTAGACCAACAAAAGGAAGGCGATCAAGCTCACTGGAAGTAAAAATTAAAAGTACTCGTCCACAATCATTTCGACCAACAAAAGACATAAGGACAGATATGATATCGCATTGGCAAACGAGTTGGTAGACAAACGAGGGAGATGTAAATTTCCAGGTTGTAAAGGGTTCACAAATACACAATGTGAAAAGTGTCAAGTTTTTTTGTGTTATAATAAGACAAAATTGTTTTAAAAAATTCCATTGTACATAAATCAATAATTAAAAAAAATTATATGCATATGTATAATGACAAATATCAAAAAGTTATGTGATAAGTGTTAAGTTTTTATTTTGTTAACAAGTACCTAATAAAGAAATAGTTTCAGTTCAATCATATTCTTTATTTATATTCAGTTCTAAGTTTTTGTTATGTTGCAGATTTCAAATTGATTTTCTTTTAATGCATATTGTTGTAATTATGCAACATATTAAAATTATGATTTTTTTATGAAAAAAAATTGTTGTACATTTTTTTAATTATTTTTTCCAGATTCCACACCTCAAATTTAGTTTAAAAACATTTTTTTTTTTTTTAATTTAAAAAAATCATGCATTTAAGGGTTAACAAAGAGTTAATATTATTTGTTTAAATTTTAAATTGATTTTTATATTGTTATTACACTATGTTACTTATATTATGAAACAAGTTATCAATTACTATACAAATAAAGTGAATTTGTAAAATGTGTTTTGGTTTTATTTTATTATATTATCTACTTTTTTCATTGAGGGATCATTAAAGTCTTGCCAAAAAGTTTGTGTGACACACCTGTGGGTCACACCAAAAAATGGTTAAATTCTATATTAGAACACCATAAACTATATGTATAATACCTATTTTACAAAAAATTATCAAAAAATTATTTAACAAGTTATGACAAAAACAGAATTAACAAAGTCATTAATTATCTCAAAAACATTTTGACAAACATCATGTGACCCACATAAGGGTCTCGTGGCAGTCAACCTGTTAAAAATTTAATTTAAATTTTAAATTTTAGAAATATGTATGTTTCTGATATTTTACACCACAACTCAGCTGTTTATTTATGATTATACAGTCTAAAGATAAAACTAAAAAAATTTCAAGTACTTTAAGTGTAATTTATTTTATTAAACATGTTGATAAATATGTAATAATCTTGTAGTCAAATAAAATTTAAAAAATTAATATATAATATTGTTCGGTCAATAATCAGTTATACAAAAAATAAATATATCGGGAGGTATTGAAATGGATACATACAACCTTAGTATAAAACCTAACCTATATACCTATATATAAATATTATTTAATGATAAAATGTATAATAATATAATTAAATATTTTAATAATTCTTTTTAAAAAAAATATGAAAATAAAGTTATTTTTTAAAATATTAAATTGAAATTAGTATTATATTGTTTAGTCTTAATTCAATTAAAAAACATAAATTATGATTTAGTTTACACATCAAATGTTAGTATATTTTTTAAAGTACAGCATATTTTATAACATTAGGTAATTCATTTTTTTGATGTTATTCAATTTACAATGTACATATTATGTAAAATTAAAATAAAATAAAAATGCATTGAATAGAAAATAGTATTTTAAAATTTAAGCATGGAATTGTATTTTAGATGATTACTTCCTGGTACATTAAATTTAAAAAAAAATGTTCACACATTTATTATGAAAAAGTAAGCATCCATTTAACAATGAACATTTTTTTTTTTTTAATACAAGTAAATTACAAATTAGGAGTGACTCAGTAATCAATTAATTATGTTATTGGGTAAATATTTTGTTTTGTTTTAGAATGTATTGGATTACTGTGTAATGTGTAATATGCATTATTAGGTGATTTAGTTTCATAAACAAGATTTCTAATTATATTTGTAAATTATTAATTAGGAATGGACATAAAAAAAATGTATTCAAATATGCCAACCTGCAATATCAATATATTTTAACAAACACCCATGTTAAAGTATAAAATTTTATTCAGACAAGTCAGAATAGCTAATTTTCATGATTTTTGATTATAATTACTAAGTTTAATAAAATCTCATACTATTGTACACCAAATTTAAATGTGTAATTATAATATAAACAGTGCTTTAGTTTACAAACTGGTGGTCAATAATAACAATATTAAATTCATAAAAACAATATCAAAATACATTTTTAAAATTAAATTTACCGTAATAGTACACGGCAGTGGAAACTGGAAAGTGATCTATAAACAAAAATAAAAATAATTTCTTAACAATTACTGTTAAAACTTAAAAATGGAATTTGTCAAGGACTATAATAATATCAATAAAYTACAATTGTTACAATAACATTAATAATTAGAGTTTGGATGTTATATTTATTGTACATTAAGTACAAATTAGGCACAGAGAGCTTCTGCCATTCAAAATATCAAATATGTAGTAAATTAGAAATATTTGAATATTAAAATATTATTAATATATAATTAAAATCACCATGTGTATAATATAATATTACAAATTTGAGTTATGGTTAAAAATCCATATTTTWAAATATAAAGATTACTACAAAACTGTATAGGTAGATTATTTTTAACCATTATGTGCAAAACAATTTTTTTGTTTATTAATAAACAGTTTTCAAGCAAAGTGCTTCTACTTACGTAAATTATTATTTTTTTATTTAAAATAAATTCTTTTAAATTATACACTGAATTTCAACGTTTAATTATTCTCCTTTATTTCTACAATATTTTAGATGTGAATAGAAATAAAACAAACAACAAACTAATAAAATTATTTTAAGGATTTTTTTTCTATTATTCTGTATACTTTTTAATTTAAAAATTGCCATGCTATCCAAACTCAGACAACAATATTTCCTTATTCCTTATGACTTAAATACTAGAAAGTGTTTTTTTTTTAATACAAGTATAATGTTAAAATTTGTATTTATAAATAAAAGTCCTTARATAATTATTCAAACTAAATTTATTTACGAAAAGATATATTTAAATTTCAACATTGAACCATTTTAACAGAAATTGATCTTTAATATAATTCTAATTTATATATTTTTTGATATTTTGTTAATAAACTGGTGTGTTCGAGTGAATTATTTTAGTCGGAAACAGAACTTTTAGTTGTGTATATTTTTATTATTTAAAGCTTATTGAAAGTTAAAAAAAACAGATTAACAACATTTATTAAATACAGGAAATTTTATCCTAAAATTAAAAAAAAAATCACCAAGCATACACATTAAATATTCATGTGGAGACATTTTGAAATTCATAACAATCATTGTTCAACAGACAATTCAAGTATAACTATCATCAATGTAAAATCTTAGAGCACTTTGTTTAACGCCAAGAATTTGTAAGAAAATGTTCTATGTTGACAGGACATTTAAAAAAAAGTGTTGGATTCCTAATGAATATAATGCCAGACTAATCACAGGCAATGTGAACTCTTCAGTAATAATGTAGAATATATGAACATATTTTCATTATGTTCTTAGGTTGATAAAACATTTAAATTTTTGTAACAAAACATCTTTTTGTGGGATAAAGTTCAATTTAAGCTCAATTCCTTGTTTTAGATTGTTACTTTTTTCAATACCCGTAACAAATACAACAATTTCACACAAATAATAAACATTTTATCAATATACACCCATTACATTCATCTCAATATTAGGAATGCAGTATTTAACTTAAATAGCAGAATAATATTATATTATTACATATTATTCTAAAAAAAAATTAAACAAAGTAATTCTAATAGCGTGATGAACCATAGATTTAATTTCTTTTGAAAGCAATTACAGATATGAAAACATTATAAATTTAAATAAAGTAAGTAATATGCAATGTGCCGCTAAATCTCTTCACAAWGTTAGAGTTTCCATTAACCACAAAATTTGATCCTTTTCATCCTGTAAAATAATTAAAATACATCATTACAAATTAAATATATTAAACATTGAAGTTTGAACTAAAAACAAATCAATTCAATTTAATATATACATTCAAGTTTAGATTAGTGAACTTCTAACCCGAGTAGCATACATAATTTAAAATGTATTATTTTGTGGATTTTTTATTAAAAAGAAAATAATTACATAACTAACAAAATTATGTAAAGAATATTAATTCAATTTGCATAATATTTTTCTTCAAATAATTTACTTTTTATCAATACTTAATAACATGTACGATGAATGAATGTTATACATATTACAGTTAATGTTTCAGTGTTAATAATTTAAAATTTTTATGTAATTAGGAATTATGGAGTTTTAGGTTAATACTATTAATGGTTTAAAGCAAGCACTATTGCATCTTGTATCTTAGTAAATTTTTTTAAGATTAACAACTTACAAATTTTTAAATAAGTATTTGACAATCTTATAAGAAAAACTAATTTTATAAGGTAATACATAAGTTTATAAAGTTTACCAACTTCCGGTGCATATACACAACAAAACTTTACAATATTCCATTAAATTATTTATTAATTTTAAATTTTACTCTCGAGCTTTTTTTCAAATATGTGTTTCATTCCATAACAAGACTAATCATTTTTTAATATTGAAATAACCTATGTAGTATCATTATTAAATGTTTAAACTGCATTTTTTAGCAGTCCACGTAGTAGGCAGTTTAATTAATRAATTTAATATCTATTCTATATTTCAATATATTGAAGTGTTTAGGTTTACATAGAAGTCATTTGGTATGATATTATAYATAAACAACAAAGGCACACTAAATTATAACTGTTTTAGAGAAAAAAAATATACGAAGTATATAATATATACGTAAGTATTCGCCATAAACACCATAAGAAAACAATGTTATAAATTCAAAAAAAAACTATTTAATTATTCAATAAAACATTAGTTTCAATATTAGTTAGTAATTTAAGTATTTTCTATGATAATGCATTTAAATTTAATATACATAACAAAAGTGCAGATTTCTATGTTTTTAAATATTATCATTATTGAGTAACTGCAGTTTTAACACGCTGACTGCTGACAGTCATTTTTTATGTATTATCGGTAAGCCAGGTGTATTTTTCAATTTCATTACAAATTTGTATTTACTCTTATATTTGAAAACATTTAAAAATATAAAAATTAAAAAAAAGTTTTAATAATTCCTGCACACCACTTCAACACTTTATAAGTTCATTATTGTAATAAAAAACCATATTAATTTATAGCTGCAGGCGATTAAGTGGCGTGTTATTAATRATCAAGTATAGACACTGGCGGTCACATGCATATAAAAATAGATAAATACAGATAATCCAGCAGTCACTTAGCAGTCTATAATATGTTAAGAGCAAAAATGTGGACGAAAATTTTTGGATAAATTCAAGATAACCTATTTGTGAATCTGATCATAAGAACGATTTTGTTGGTAAAAAAATTTATCTAAGTCAAGCAGCTTATTATTTTTTTTTTAATTCAATATTTTTTTGATTAAAATAAATTGGAGCGAAATACATTTTTTTTAAATATGATTTTTGAGAAATTGCTGACAGGAGTATAATATATCTTAAATTATTTACTTATCATATATTATTGACAATTTTTGTCATACGATTAACTAGCATAATTTTTTATTTTTTTAGGTCTTTCTGTTATATTCTGTATAGTTCACATAATGTTTCTATCGTAACTGATATACATGGATTTTTAAATTATTTAAAGAAAAAATCATAATTAAGATAATATTTTAAGGTTTATTTTATAGGAAATTAGAATCATATTTAAATTTATAAGAATCTAATAATTCACTATATAATCAAAATATAAATACAATTTAAAAGAATTATCTWCAAAATAAAACCTGGACAAATGAATGGTAATTTTTTAAGTTAATAGTTATCCTTTATTATAATTATTATTTTTTTGTTTTGTAAATATATATATTATTATATTATATACCTATAGTTACCAGTAAATGATTTTAAATCATAAAAATCATAAATCATTGAAATGATTGAAAATATTGGCTATTCATAGTAAAAACATCTTAAATAGGTAGATTTAGTACTTTTTTTTTTGCATATTTTAAATTTTTTTGCTGTACTGACACATATTTAACAATTTATGGATAATATAACTGTACAAAATGTTGAATGATTAACTATAAACATTTGTTTGTATTGATCATAGCGTTTGTGTAACTATCAGTCGCAAAGATTTATAAGTAATTTATAAATACTCAACAAAAACAATTCAAAACGATCAAATACAATGTATTATCCTAATTGGTTTAATGACAGATGTCGGATATGCATACTTAAGCAATTGAACAAAAATCTAACTTATTGAGTGAACAATAATTTTTTTTAAATATATTTTTATCAAAAAGAATTTTAAGAGCTTTTTTATTATTAGTGCATATTTTTAGGTTTACAGAGCTATATATAAACACATAATTTAGTGCTTTAAGTACCGGGATATTATCATAACTCAGTTGGTTTTAACTTTAATTAATAATAACTTATTTACGTGATTTTAAACTATTAYAACAAAAATATTATTAAATATGTTCTTGATAATTGTACATTACTACCTATATCATATTAATCTATTTRATAAATATGCAATATTATGCATTATTATTTATTATTATTGTTATTAAAGTATGCTACAGTATGGGATGGTAAATTTGTACCTAAATAGTAAATATAATTTGAAAATCAAATATTGATTATTATTTATTATGGGTCTAAAACCCATTAACATAATATCTTGCCTGATATCTTGATTCATCTGAATAAGAATCTTGCAATGATGTCAATGCTGGCTTGAGATCCTCCATCGAAGAGCATATTTCTTTGACTCTGGCTGGTGACATACGAAGCAGTTGATTCAACGTAGATAAAAACAACTCATGATGAAAAGGTTCGAAATTTTTTTCCATGCCCATGATTATCGAACTTATGATTTCAACAACACCATTATCAATATACATTTCTGTAAATGTTATTTATATTAAAAAATTACTTGTTCATAGCAATGAAATAAGAATATTAACTTACCCGCTATATCATTACCCATATGGCAAGTTGAGCAAATTATGAATACTGCTTTAATCTTCAATTTATCAATRGGTGTTTTCAATGAATTGATAATCAAATCTTTACCTCCGAGTTCAATGAATTGCCAAAACACGGTTATGTTATGACGAACCAAACCTTTAATTTTTCAATATTAAACAATTAAAATTTGTCAAAATACCATGAGTAAATAGGTTACAACATATTTGTGACTCACTGGAAATTGCAGCTAGTGCTTTTACCCGCACTTCATCGTTAAGATCATTTTCTACCATAGAAATCAATGCTTTCAAGTAATTAGGATTTTCCATAAACTTTTCTTGACAGTATGGATTATGTTGAACCAGTGTACTTATCAATTCTGCTGTCTTTATGCGCACAGATGGATGCTCTGAACGAATACACGGTAAAAATATATGAAAACCGCCAAGCTTTTCAAAATCTAAAAATAATTATTAGTTACATTCATATACTCAAAATCAAAACAATGTGTAAAAAACAAAAATAAAACTTTTTTAACCATTAGCATAATCAATATTGTCAACATATTCCGCAATAACATCAAACGCAAATTCATGTTCATCCACTTGTTTGTTACTGTCAAATAAAATGTTAATAGAATTGTTCATTTCCTCGTGCACATTGACTGTCATGGTTGACAAAACATTAGACAAAAATTTCTTTCTCTAGAAACATAATAAATTAAAGAGTAAGATATTAATAGCAGTAGCATAAGCCACATTAAAAATCATAATATATCTAACTTATAAATAGGTAGTTACTCAGGTTGCATAAATACCGAATTGAAAACAAGTTATACCAACAGAAACATTAGGTATGCTATGGACTAGCGTCCCGCATTGTCTAGTTCACGGTCAACTAGGTACCAGCCAAACCAAGCTTGGGTAGGATGCGACCAACTTGGTAATTATAGTAAAGAAAGCATTTCACGGAAATCATTAACATTAGGGAAATACATCATCAGGTGGGCATACGACTATAAAAAGATTATCAATAGGACGTAGAGTTATGCATCGATGCAGGGGTTCCGAGAACCAACAAACGAATATAATATCATAAAATATATTTAATAATAATAATATAATTATCGAAGTTTAYAGCKGCACGGGATGCGCATTTTCATAGTATGTGGGCGAGTGGCATTTCCGTCAGTTTAGATGATTATACCACATCCGTGAGAGCAKCGACAAGAACAAGTAGACTATTGGGAGTAGAGGGTAGCACTATATAACAGACCCCGAAACAGCCTGTATTCAGACGCGACTTAACCAGACTAGCCAGAGCACCTTCACGCCAGTCTGTTCTTTAATTTATTAAATTGGACTTAGAAAAATTCTCATAAAATAATAATCTGAACTTAGAAAATATTCGAGTCAGATAACCAAAGAAAACTTCATAATCAAAAAAATATTAAGTACCTAGGTTCTTCATGTCAATTTTTTTCAATCTGTTAGTTAGATATAAATTTCTGCAGCTATTAACAACTAATAATAAAAAATAATTGTGTAGGTACCTAAGAAATAACAAACTCAGTTCCAAGTTGGTTAACAAATTCCTAAAAATAGCAGTCATAACAAGAGAATGACTGCCATAACAATGACATTTAATATTTAGAAGTGAAAAAAGAACAGTATCGTTTCTCACAGCAGATGTGTGATCAACGTCCAGTTGTGACTTACTAACATGTCAAGCCAATCACTAGTAATCAAATATTTAAAAAAAACATGATTTTTATAACTGTATTTTTTTTCTTGTCTCTATGGACCTACACGATAGAATTGACGCCCAAATCACACAGCTTTACACGTAACTGCTATCAAAACAATTGTGCGTCAGTCAATCTTTTTAATTTAAATGCCGAATAAAATGAGAACGAAAACATATTCATGTTTTCTAATACCCAGCCGTGCAAAGTTCAACAGCAACCGTTGTGGTCGTAATGCTAGAAAAGTCAATATGCACACTCAGTATTAAACTCACTTCCTCGGTGAATGTAAAAGCGTCTCTGTCTTGGTTAATGGTCATCGGCATCCCGTCAGACAGGTTGGTAGTGTACTTTAACATGTCTTTGTAGCTGCGCACCTTGTTCAGGTCGCAGTTGCCGGAAGCGGCGGCCGCGTCCTCTTCGGCCGCATGGTCGATAGAGATGGCCATCGCTTCACGGTTCACCAAGTCGATGATGCCGCCTACACCGTGTTCCGCTTCGATGAGGGCCGCGTGACCGGTGTGACGCATCTGACGGCGATGGCGATTGTTGCGTCGGCGGCGTTGGTGATGTTCCGCAATCCCGTCCAGATCGATTATCTCGTCCTCGTTGATGATGTACCGGCTAGGCGGCGGCGGCATAATGACGGGAGGCGCCGAGTCGTCGTCGCTGGACGACGACGAACCACCGATATGGTCTTCCATGTGGCGGTGAAACGTGGTTGCGGTTAGACTTGACGGCAAAGTGCGTGACGAGCGTCTAGTGACGACTACTATACGGCTCTGGCGTCCGGCGATACTCTGTGCCTCTGTGGACTGTGCAGTGTGCGGTCGCGCCGAAATCTATTGCGATTTGCCGACGCGGAGTATCGGATGGAAAATCGATACCGAACGAGAGKCGGCGACGGCGGCGGATGAAGCTGTGAGCGCTGCGACTGAGAAGAGGGGAGGGAGCGCGGACAGCATGCAGCGTGTGAGCGCGCAGATCGTCGTCAGTTCGGTTCGACTCGATGCGGCGGCCGTCGACGAAACTAAAACACACCAAATACTGTAAATGGTTTACAGTATTTGAACACACCTAACAATGAATAACAATTATTAACAATGCGTGTGACTCGTGTTATCGAGCGCTGCCGCAATCAACAGGCCGGGCCACGCACGCGCACTCTCTGCCGCCGTTATCAACAACAACAACAGCAGCTAACTTCTAACGTATACTTATTTGATAAATTAATGAATTTTAATTTTTTAATTTGGTTTGTTGTCCGCAACAAAATCCACGACAATAATATTAAATTCGGTCGATCGATGACGATTTTAATAATAATAATATCGTAGTGTCATTGTGATTGTTGTCGTTGTTGTTGCCGCCGTTTTTGTTGTAACTCCTGTTATCAACCGTGGCGGCGACACTTTTTCGTTTTCATTGTGGTCGTGGAGTATCACAATAATAATGTCTTTAKATCGATGTATTCTTTTCACGCATAGATAAAAGATGTTTGCACGTCGTCCTTGCCACTAGCTCGGYTTTCGTTTACCGTCGTCCGTCACACATGACTGCATAAAATAATAACAATATCGATGCGTTTTCTTATCTACTACTTCTGACTTCTGAGTTCGCGATTAACGGTACTTATAATTAGTAATTACTAGAGAGCCTAGATAATAAAACATAAAAGAGTGGCCAACTGAGTAGATAACGGCCATGTTTAGTCCAAACTTTTCTCGCCTTTTTTGTTTTGCTATGGACTAGCGTCCCGYATTGTATAATTCACAGTCAACTAGGTACCAGCCGCACCAATCTAGGGAAGGGTGCGACGAACTTTGTAAATGTAGGAGAGACAGTATTTTGTGGAAATCATTAATATTAGGGAAACACGAAATCATGTGGTCATACGACTGTAAAAGATCATTGATAGGGGCACACAAGGTGTGGGATTATACATCAATACAAAAGTTCCAAGAACCAATGTTATAATGTATTATCATAATATATAGTTTTACATAATAATAATATAAATTATCGAGGTCTGCAGCTGCACTGGATGCACCTTTTGACTTGTATGTGGGCGAGTAACATTTCCCGTCAGTCTAGATAACTACACCACATCCGTGAGAACAGCGACAAGAGAAAGTAGACTATGGGGAGTAGAGGGTAGCACTATATAAGGGACCCCGAAACGGCCTGTATTCAGACGCGACTTGACCAGACTAGCCAGACCACCTTCACGCCAGTCTGTTGTTTAATTTAATTTATTGGACTTAGAAAATTTCCTATAAACAATATTTTGAGCTTAGAAAATATTCGAGTCAAACCGAATTTATTCTAATCATTCAGAATACTTAACTTAGCTTTCATGTTATCAATAAATATATGTTTTACCACAATAAATAAACAATTAATCTATTAAGAAGAATTCTACGTTGTGTAATTAACTCAAGAGTCACCTTCCAAACATCATCCTTGACTACTGATACCTGTAGGCGACGTGATCACTACAGTTTTTGAAATTCTATTTTTTATAAAATGATTATATTTTATAATATACAATAACAATATTATGTACATAATTACATAAATACATTCACTACAATTAAAAAAATATATTATTTAGCTTTAAATATTTAAATAATTATATAATTTATACTGGAAAATATTGTAATTTTTTATTTTATTATTTTTGCTTGATAGATGATGATCGACTAAGTTAGAAATCTGTATATATCAAATTTATTCATATTCAGTATTATTCTATAACACTTATGATTCACATTTTAAATAAAATTACCATCAAGTGTTGAATTTTAACTCTAACATATAAATATAATTGATAAATTRAAAAAATGTATAGGTATACATTTAAAATTGAATATGCRATATGCATATTTATTAGTCTCGTGATGTCAAAATTGCTAGACAGTGAAGATACAAGCTATTTAATATATATTATAATATAAAGAAAAAAATACACATTTAAGTACACTATAAAATGCTTGTTGCAACTTGCTATATAGGATAATATAATTAAAACAAATTCAGTCTTGAACTTTATTTTATAAAAATAGTTTTCGAGTGTACCTACTATGTGTTGATAATWATAAATTTATAAATTTTAATAAAAACAATTAATACAGCAAAAACAAAAAATGTTTAAATTTTCCACATAATAATATAATTTAGGTTATCTAYCTAGTAAAATATAAAAATATTTTTAGTAAAATAGAATAATAATAATAAATTGTATAAATAATAATTAAATGTAACTATTGCCTTTAAAGTTTTGTTTTATTCTTAACAGCTTCTCTCATTGCAATACTCTTGCTAGCTTTTAGACAAGCTGCACTTTTTTTTCAAATTTTTTGTATGAAGTGTTCCTTAATTTTTACACCTGAATTCAATAAATCGGTTTATCATCTTTGTCTTAATTGGATGACAGTTTGAAAATGAAAAAGCACTTAATTCAAGTGATAATTTCTTCATGAAAATTTCCCTTTTGTTGTTTAAAATTAAGCTTCTATATTTTCTAAACATTATTTCCATACTGAGAAAAAATTGAAAACATTCTTCAGTAATGTTTTAAGAAACCAGTTTTGTAATCTTTAATTTAAAAAAAGTAGAGTAATCAGTTTTTAAAGGTTTGGAAGAACATACAGATTTAATACAACCATCACAAACTTTGTCATTATTTCCTATTCTTCATATTATACAACCTATAGTTAAACAATTCAAGAATATTTAAAATACATATTTTTATATACCTACCTAATTAAATTAAATATAGTAGGTAGGTACCTAGAGTTAGACATTAATAATTTTATAAATTGAATATTCTTTGCAAGTCTTATAAATTGTATTATAATGAATATATTATTATTATATTTAATTATATTAAGAACAACTTATCCAAAACAATATAACATCATAATATTATTGCMGTAATTACGATACTAAAAATTCTTAAATAATAAAACTTTTGTCAATAAAATAAGCTCATCTTGATAGGTAATTATTTTAAACATTTTATTTATTAACTAGYAATGTCTTAAATTTATTAATCAACTATAACTATAGAAATGTTTAAAATAACCAACAAAATGAAAATATTTTATGTCAAACGATTTATTATTTAAGGATAAGGTATAAAAATAAACAATTTATGTTAGTGCAATAAATAATTATTTTTAACTAGGTACCTAGTATTTTAGAATAATTTCTATTGAAAAAATTCTAACAAAGTTTTATATTTTTACCAATTATTTTAATCATTGCATTGATTAAATATGAGTAATTTGCTTAAATAGCAATAAAAAGTGAGCCATAGCCCATAGGTTATAAAAATAGTGAAAAATATTAAGAAAGGTGAATGAGTGGAAAATCTTAAATTAAGATTTGTTATACTTTGAGTTAAATTGTTCTTTAAAAAAATTAAATAATGTGTCACAAAGGTTATTACCTGCTATATTATACAAATARTTTTGTTCAGTATTTTGTAGAACAATAATATAAGAATCATTAAAGCCATCACATAGTTCAGGTTCTTCATCTGATGGTTCCGATAATATAGGCTTAACTTTCGAAAAATCTAATATATCACCAAGAAACTCTMTGTCATCTTGATCATACTTACTGTTGGATACATTTTTCAGAAATTCAGCTACACAAATAAGTTTTAAATTACTATTATATTGTAAAGGATTTGGAATAGGTTGAACACTTCTAATACATTAAAATAAATTTTGAAGACAATATTGAGAAAATCTTCCAGTAAGGAGAAACTTATAAGACTTTTCATTGAGAAAAATATTTTGTAAATCAATAATACTTTTTGTTGCTGATAAAACGCCAGCTTGGCATGGTTTCCATGTTCCCTTTGACCCGATTTTTATATTTTTGAACATATCCATAAAATGATACAAAAATTGTATGGTTTCATTATACTTCTCTAGATTGAACTTACTTAAAGCAACAGCAGGATTTCTAGAATTCATTAATGTAAACCACTTAGCAAATTGTTGTTTAAACCATGCTGTGGTTTTGAAAGAAGAGTGATCATTTTCATAGTCAACCAAAAATTGTAAGCTTGCACTTACATCAGTACTCAAAATGTTAGCAGCTTTTGAAACTTTCATTTTGTCAAAATGATTAGTCTTTTGTAAATATTCTGCATCAAGATTCCGAACTAATTTCAGTTCAAGATTATTTTGATGGTTTGCTAGTTGTTCAATAWRTTTGCTATCTGCAATATTAGGTATATGTTAAGTTATGTTTTTTTACTATTTCTTCAAGTAATGTAATGAACTTATTGTTAAATAATACTTGTTTTATATTTTTAAATAAATGTGGCACATCTGGTAAAAATATATATTACGGTTTACGGTTGAAGTCACATGGATGTACACAGGCTCGTAGCTAGGGTACAAGCAAGTCATGCGTTGCTTTAGGGCRGCATAACATTTTAAAGAAATTGAGGCRGCAAATTGTAAATTTGTAATATTAAATTACCAAAAAGGCAGCAATTTAATTATTATTTTAGCAATTTAACTTAATAAATATTTTATTAAAATTTCAAAATATTTGTTGAATATTAATTAAAAATTTGTTAAGAACTTATTAAATATTTGAATACTAACATTTAATAAATGTATTTATATTTATTTTAAATTTATAAATACTGCTATTAGTGTTTAGCTTTTTAAAAGGATAAAAAATAATTAATATGCAGTAGGAAACAAAGTTTATTTTATTTGGATACAAGTTTGATAATTTAAGATGTAAATTCAATAAATATCCAATAATAAAAAGAAAAGTGTGATATTATTATTATTATATGGAAATTATTATTATTTCATATATATTATAATTTTTCAATCAAAATTTAGAGCTGAATTTTATACACATCACACATAAATTATACAGTTTTTTTTATTGGGCCGTATTATATACTTATGTTTTATATACATATGTAATATATGGGTAGAAATAAGTTAGAATATATAATTTTTTAAT